ATATTTGATAAGGCTTGCCTGGGGTAATATGGTAATTAGGGTTCAGTTCCAAGAGCCCGTAGGGAGAGGAGGAAGCTGGGACTGTGTGGGGCTAGAATTAAGGTTACTAACCCGATTTAATTAAACTGCTTCCAATATAGAGAAGTCAGAGTCTTAGCTAAACATCAGTTTTGCTTTGTGTGTGTATCAGTATGCTGATAGGTGCAAATTTGCCCTAGGAACTCTATCTTCGAAACCTATCGCCAACCATTTTAATAGGTAATAATAAAATTGTAGCTAACATTTAATATTCATTTAATAATGTGTCAGCTGCTATGCTAAGTATTGTCTCATTTAATCTTTACTATCACCTCAAGAAGCAATGACTCTTGCTAACTACCCCGGTAATAAGAACTACTATTTCGTGACGGCCTATTGTGTGCCAGGGGGTACTAAGTGCTCCAGATAGGTCAAAACATTTAGTTCTCACAACTCGAAAGATAGGTGCTATCATCATCCCCATTCCACAAAGGAAGGAAATCAGCCACAAAGATTAGGTAATCTGCGTGAAGTCTCACAGCTGGGAAATGACGGCTCTGGACTTAGAACCCCCGGCTGTTAACGCTCAAGTTCATCTAGCCAATCACTATATTCTACTGCCTTTCCCGTCTACTTCTGCTGATCCAACTTGTTGATGTATAGTGGACACTATCCTGATCAATTCTTAACAGTCCATTCATACTTACTAGCAATTTGGACATCATAGGAGTCTCTGGCTGGCTACTTGGTCAACTGTTCTCTTTAAGATTTTGTTTTTAAGGAATCTCTATGCCCAGTATGGGTCTCAAACCTACAACTTTGAGATCAAGAGCTGCATGCTCCACCGAGCAAGCCAGCCAGGCGCCCTAGCGAACTGTTCTTCTCTTACAGGCAATAGTATTGATTCACTCCCCTGCCCACCCCGCCCCCCCAAAAAATTTAAGTTCTGATCATTGTTTTCAAATGTATCTTGCTGAACTATGTTGCTTATATGAATGATATACCATGTTAGGTTTTGTTTATGTGCCTTTTTTTTATTAAAAAAAATTAAGTAAACGCCACACCACAGGTGGGACTTGAACTCATGACCCCAAGAACAAGAGTCACACGCTCCACCAACTGAGCCAGCCAGCCTAGGTGTGCTTTCTTAACTGTTACTCTGGAATCATCTCAAGGTTCTGCGTAAGCACACCTAATTTTCTTTTTCAGTACTCTCAAACGAGGACCAACAACACAAGTCAAGCTGATCGCTGTCCTCTACAGAAGTTACAATAATTCTCTATCTGTGCCCTCGCTCTCACCTGTTTCATATGCCTTATTGCTGTCCTACTCTCCAAATCCTCCTCATTCATCAAGGCTCAGCTTAAATCCCTCCAGAGTCTACCTAACTACCCTTGGTCCTACTGCTCATTATTTTCTCTGAATGTATGCAGCACTGCATTCCCTCAAAACACTTAAATTATATGTGTTTTTAATTATTTCTATAAATGCTAGCCAGTGTAGTCGTGTGTTTTTAATTATTTCTATAAATGCTAGCCAGTGTAGTCGTTGTAGGGACCATTATTTAATACAGTTCTTGCCCTTTGCAGTGTTAGGCACAACAGGGTGATATTACTGAAGGAGCATTAAGGAGACATCCTGACCTGGTATTGAGGAGTCTCAGACAAGCTCCTGGGAAACAAGCTCTCTGCTACCCACTGTACTTTTCTCTTAGCATAAACTAAGTGCTATATAAATGACAGGCTATTAAAACATCTTAAAAACATCAGCTTATAAATGATGGGCTGGCAGACAGTTTGTCCGTAAGATGAATATCCGCACCTCAGTGCTTTAGATCACCCATTACTATGATGTTTTGTTTTTATAAACCTTAGGGCAACACCATGCTACAAAGTGAATATGAATGTTGGCTTTTTTTGTTTTCAAATCATGCTAATTTTATTTTTATTTAATGTTCTCCATTTTATAAAAGTTGATTAAGTAACAATCAACATAATGATAGATTATTACATAGAAGGCACATGGAGGGGATACTAATAAGAATGTCGACTTTTAGGGGCGTCTGGGTGGCTCAGTTGAGCCTCTTGGTTTCGGCTCAGGTCACGAACTTGCGGTTTTGTGGGTTCAAGCCCTGCGGTTGGGCTCTCAGCTGGCAGCAGAAAGCCTACTTGGGATTCTCTCTCTCTTCCTCCCCCACTCACACTGTCTCTCTCAAAATAAATAAATAAGTAAACTTAAAAAAAAAAAAAAGAATGTCAGCTTTTAAAGAAATTGTGACTGGTTATAGCACAGAGATCACCAACAATGGATACCAGAGGGCAGTAATAAAAGTGTAAGTACAGTTTCACTTATCAGTTTATGTGAAGAGATAAATTTGTCACACTGCTACTGCCCTGGTAAAATGAGGCAGCTACAGCTAAGGGGGTAATGAATATAGAACACAGATGCTGCAAGCAATGCATGAAAGCAACACATGTCAAATAATTCGACAGATCTTTACCTAACATTTTATCAACAGGAAATCTAATAAAAGAGTGTCCTGTCAGTAAATTTTCATAACTTCATGCACCATAAGAATGAAGACACAACTTCTGATTTACAGACTAAACTATGTAAAATATACTTTGAATCCTCTTTTTTGCTCTAATTCTTAAATATGCTTTTTTGCTCTAATTCTTTAAACATGAGCATCAGCAGACACCAATAATATCATTATGAACCTGGATTTGCATTAATCTGAAGTATGGCTGACAGGCTAAATATGAGAGAAAAAAAAAATAAAAAGAGCGCTTCCTAGGTGAAAACTACCTTCTTCTATACCTCAAATAGGTGAGAAATGACCCATCGTATCAGCACCGTATTTAGAGAAGTGGGAAGGTATGGTTAAGCTTCCTTCCTCCAAACCTCCAAAACAAAAAATAAGCCCAGCAATTGAAAGCATCTTGGAAACCACTTACTAATACAGAAATCTACATGTCAACAAAAGCAGGGGTGATTCTGATTCACAATGGTCCTTGGTTGTAATTGTACCTAAAAACTTGTTCATAAAGCTTCAGGTGTAGCGGGGCAGTCTTTTTAAAGACCCCAGTACAACACTCCCCAGATCAGCACAGAGCACTCATAGTGCTGATCTTTATGACTCCAAGCTGTTACTGCCTAACTACAGATACAACGCATCGCTGCACATACTTAATCCAGAATTCGGCACCGTGACAACATCTCTGTCAGAGGGCAATATAGTAATCTCCTATTGATCCAGGAACTCTGGCACCGAAAGCGTGAACAACCCAAGGTACTGATGTCGTCACCAGGGGACGACAGGAATAGAACCCAAATCCCTAGGCTCCCAAGCTCGTGTTTTCCACTAATTGTGCTCCTTTCTACTCATCCGAGAGCATCAAGTGTAGAGGGCTGGAGAAGGGAGTGGACACAAATGAGCCAAGTCGGCGAGGTGGAGACCGCACTGAAGGTCCCCAGGAACCACTCTGTGGCACTTTCCTTTGTTTTGGTTGAGGACGATGAAGGCAGCCGCAGCCACAACCCCCGGGGACCAAGAACTGGAACTAGGTACTGCCTGTTGTGCTCTCTCTTCCTCATTTTAGGCCTTTCCTTTTCAACCTCTCCCTTCCGGCCAGCTCCGCCGCTCCCTCCACCTCACGCCGCGTCCGTCCCGTCCCCCCGGCTCCGCGTCGCACTTTACAGCCGGTGTCCCCCAGGGAAGCGGCAGCTGCGGGGCACTCGCCCGCCACCCGGCCTTAAGCCCAGTCCTTAGGTGGTCGGGGGGGCTCCCAGCGCCACAACCGTTTGCTCTAAAACAAAACAAAACAAAAAACACACAAACGAGTGCTAGCCAAGCATTTTGTGTTTCAACGATCAGAAACTTAATTGGTGGGAACGGGGGTATATACCAAGTTGGCTCTGCGTAGCTGGTCAGGACAAAGCAAAATTTAGACAATACGCAGAGAGCCTTTCTCTTCTCTCGTAGCTCGACCATGCCCTGGGCAACCTCCCACTGGAGGACGCCTTCCGGAGCGCGCGTGTTTACACTTTCCCTACCCCGGGTGCAGGAGACCAGCGCTCGCGCACTCAGGGGGATTCCAAACCGTTACTCCGCCCGCCGGGGTGGGGCCAGCCCAACGGCCGAGCCTGCGCAGTGAGCCTGCCCGGCCCCGGGGCCCCAGCGCACTACAAGTCCCAGAAGGCAGCGCTCCCCGGGGGCGGGCGGCCGCCTTACCTGCCGCGAGCTTATGCCTCCGGCTGCTACCGCTCTCCCCTTCCCCCGTTCCCGTCGGTCGCCTTTCCACAGTTAAAGGCTACTTTCTCGTGAAGCACGAGGGGAAGAGTCTTAGTAACCTCGACCTGGAAGCTCTTCGCGTGTCCTTTCTCTCCCCGAACTATGCCCGACTCCCTCACGGGAGTTGGGTAGTAGACAAGAGAGAAGGAAGCTTTCGGAGGCCAAAGCCGAGGCAACTTGGTCGCACTTCCGCCTCCCGGGCTCCGGAAGGTAGCGCGCACGCGCTCTCTGCGACTCCGGCGCGGTTGACTTCCGCTCCCACTGTGCCCTGCGAGCCGAATCATGGATCACACTGGTAAGGAGGCGGAGGCAGTGGGGGTCCCGGTTCCATGCCCCCTTGGCCGGCCTGGGACTTGCTGCCCAGCGGGCAGAGAGGGCATACGCTCGCCCTACAGCACTGGGGTCTGGCGGTGAGAAGGAAATCTCACAGACCCCTCCCTGTGCCCGGCAAGGGCCTGCTGCGTCCCGGCCTACCCTCCGGTGCGGTACCTACCGCCTCGGTGCCGGCAACAGCCACTTCTCGGGTTCTGCTGAGCTCCCAGCCCAGACGGTGGGAGGCGGGGGCCTCGTGGGGAGGAGAGAGCTCCGCTCCTTTTTTCCTCGTCCCGGGTGCTCTGCTCTCAGTTTGGGGGACTGGCGGGTAGATTCCAGTTTTGGAGTCGGGGAAGCCTTGTTACGCTGGGTGTCGATGCGCGGGAGTGGGTTAGAGACTTCCTGCTGTCTCAGTCAGTTTTGGGCGGGTGCTGCGGTGGTCACTGCCGGTCGTTATTGTCTCTCCGGTCCTTCACGGATTAGAGGTGGGAGAAGGGAGTCGGATATGGTTTTCGGAATCCTACTCGGAGCGGCTTTTCTGCCTGAGCCCAAAGCATGCCCCGCGCTACGGCTGTGGTCCTTACACATCATTTGGGGGCGTTTACAAAGGAGAGCTTAAAATCACGATATTCTCGTCTCTATGTCCAAGTAAGAATGACTCCGCTCTTCGTTACGTCTTGTTTGGCTTTTTCTTCTTTGTGGCTTTTGGATATTGAATGAGAGTGCACTTGGAGTTAGTGTTCCGTATAGTTATGCCAGCCATATCATAAGTAGGAAAAAAAGGATATTTCTTGTATTAAGCATTGGTTAGGGTGTTCTCAGTCATCAAATACCTACTTAGTTTTCTACATATAGATGTAAAATTATATCTATATGGTTTTAGTGAGTGTTAGTCAATGTAATATATGCCAGATACCTGTAGGTCTGGAGATGGAATGGTGCAATGGTAAGCAAGACGGTCTGAATCCCTGACCTCATGGAGATTACATTCTGTTAGGGAAGACACCATAAACAGGGCTTTTGTTTTTGTTTGTTTGGTTTTTAAAACCTAAAATTACAGATCATGATGAGTGCTTTGAAGAAAATAAACGGGTTCTGTGGTAAAGACTAATAGGAGGAGGCTTCAGAGAGAGTGGCCAGGGAAGGTCTTTCTGTAAAAGTAGAATTTATAAGTTGAGATCTGATGCATGAGAAGAATCCAGTCATGGAACTGATCAGGAGGAAAGCATTTCTAGCAAATACAAAGACTCTGAGGAAGGAAAACTTAAAGAAGATCAGTTAGCTGCAGCTTAGTTAGCAAGAGGGAAGGAACCCTGAGATTGAAAAGGAAGGCAGGAGTCAGGTCCTACAAGACTTTGAAGTCCATGATAAAGATTTGATTCTAAGTGCTGTGCGAAGCCATTGAACAGAAGTGGAGGAGGAACATAATTTCTTTTAAAAATACAATAGCTTGTTCATGGAGATGGTGTAAAAGAGGGAGACAAGAATAATAGAAAATAAGCGATTTAGGAGGTGATCGCAGTAGACCAGAAGAGAGACTCAACTTAGTTAAGTTGGCTTGGTTTAGTAGAAGGGGAGTGGACAAATTCACTATTTTGGTGGTAGAACTCAAATATGAGCTTTGTGAGAGAAAGGAGAGATGCCTAGGTTTCTGGTTTGATCACCTAGGTAGTGCCCATTACTGATTTGGGGAAAACACACTTTTTAAAAAAGGGGTAGAGGTGAGACCTGGGAATTTGGGAACAAACTTTTGGGCTGCCAAGTATGAGCTGTGTATTGGGACATACAAGGGAAGTTGTCCGGTGGAAATCAGAGGAAAGATGTGGGCTGAAAAATACATACTTGAGATTTAGTACCAGAGAGTTAATATTTTAAGGATGGATGAGATCACTCAAGGAATGAGAATACAGAGGGCCTAGAATCAGGCTGTAAGAATCTCTAGTATTTGGAAATTTTGTAGAATTGAAACTCTGGGACCTTGGTGTTAGAGTAACAAATGTGCAACTTTAGCAAAATACTTCTCATTAGAGCCTATTACTAGAATTGGTAGTTAAGCCTGTTCCACAGTTTACAGGATGTTATGTTAAGAAGTTGTAGTATCGCTGGGTGTGTGTCTTGAGTATTTATTATCCTAGTTCTCTAAGTTAAAATATTGCCTGAGAAAGTAAGAGTCATCCTGACATGAAAATATTCACAAATGAGCTGACCATTTAAAAAATTAGTTTCTACTCAGATATCCCTGCTAGATATTTTCTATTCTTTTTTTTTTTTTTTTTTTAAGATTTTTGTCTCTGAGTAATCTCTACACCCAACATGGGGCTCAAGCTTACAATGTAGATCAAGAGTCACATGCTGTACCAACTGACAGCCCTTTCTCTCTTCATTTGATTTCTTTATAAGTCATTATCTTTGCTTCATATCAGGAAACAGTGTCAAATACTGTATATTGATTGTGATTACAAACCTTGCAAAAGATTCAGGTTTTTTTTTTGGAATTCATAAACATGAATTTGATAACTATTTGAATCACAAATAAAATCCTTGGCCAATGAGGAAATTCCAGTCAGCCAGTTGATTGAGGATGTTATGACAGGGTAGGTATTTTAAGAGAAAGATTTTAATGTCAAAGGATTAAGAGAGGCTCTTGGGGAAATTGATAAAACCCTTGAATATTATGCAAAAGTGACTGATTTTATGATCATGCTGAAAAGTCAGACATAACATGAAGGCTATCCTCTAGGGTTCTAATAGAATTTTGCCAGAAAAACTACTCCAGGAAACGCCCAGTTAGCACTCGATTCATTCTTTGGTCATTTTAAGAATTAGCACTTAGTTGTAACTGCAATCTAAATTTTATAAAATTTCTTGGTTCCTTTAATTCAGGATAAAATTCTAAATAAATCTTTAAAAAACTATAATATAAAAGTGTTACTCCTTTTTAAAGTGGATTCACCTTAAATGGCCAGTTATAGGGGCTCCTGGCTGGCCCAGTTGGTAGAGCATGCGACTCAGTCTTGGGGTTGTAAGTTCGAGCCCCATGTTGGATGTAGATTACTTAAAAAAAAGTCTTTTTATTTATTTATTTATTTATTTATTTATTTATTTATTTATTTATTTTTTCAATGTTTATTTATTTTTGGGACAGAGAGAGACAGAGCATGAACGGGGGAGGGGCAGAGAGAGAGGGAGACACAGAATCCGAAACAGGCTCCAGGCTCTGAGCCATCAGCCCAGAGCCTGACGCGGGGCTCGAACTCCCGGACCGCGAGATGGTGACCTGGCTGAAGTTGGACGCTTAACCGACTGCGCCACCCAGGCGCCCCCAAAAAAAGTCTTTAAAAAATGAAAATAAATGACTAGTTATGTCTTCAGTTCTCTTTTTTTGTGTAACAGTATCCATGGACTTTTATGGTTATGGGCTTTATGTTTTAGTTGACATATTCAAAAAGAAATTGTGCTGTATTTTCTGATTTTTTAATAAAAAAAAAAAAAGACAAACCCAGAATGATATCACTATTGAATGCTGTACTTTGTTTATGGACTTGCAATCTAAGAGGTAGGTGGCAAGGTGTTAAAGGGCAGAGGACTCCTGAAAGTCGTGGTAGGCTAAGCAAGCAACTGTTGTGATCTCAACTGCTCAAGGTGGAGGGAAAGGATTTGCAGTGATGAAGTGTTGGTATTTTGGTCATTCGCCTAGTTGTAAAACCATTGAGTCCTAATATCAGAAGGAAAGCATTGAACTGTCAACTGTCTGTCTACATCAGCTTGCTTTGTTCATTTATTGAAAAATCAGGAATACATTTTGAGCAAAAAAAAAGATTCTGTCATATCCATCCTTTGGCTATTACATTGCTTGTAGGTACTTTTACATAAGTAACTAGAAGAAAGCAGATGAAATACATTACTCAGCTTGGTTTAATACATTTGGTGAAGTGCTGAAAGTTGATCCAGTTGGGTTTATCCTAACTCAAGATTTTAGCTACCCATATACTTCCTTTCCATGAATTTTTTCTTTGAGGATTGGCTATTGTAAAAGTAATAGTAGAAAGTAGACTGAAAGATATTTAAATTAATCATTAAGAATTAAATTATTATTTTGAATTAAAATTATTTTGAATTAAAAAAATAATTGTTCAGGGGCGCCTGGGTGGCGCAGTCGGTTAAGCGTCCGACTTCAGCCAGGTCACGATCTCGCGGTCTGTGAGTTCGAGCCCCGCGTCGGGCTCTGGGCTGCTGGCTCAGAGCCTGGAGCCTGTTTCTGATTCTGTGTCTCCCTCTCTCTCTGCCCCTCCCCCGTTCATGCTCTGTCTCTCTCTGTCCCAAAAAAATAAATAAACATTAAAAAAAAAAAATTGTTCAGGAAGAGTGCAAACTGATGTGAATTTAACATGTGTGTCTGTAAACCTAGTAGCATTGGAGAGGAGGTCATTAGTACTAGGTTACTGCTTTCACATTTGGCTTTACTGAATGTAATGTGGACAGTGGGCCTATCAATCTTGGTTGCATTATCTCCTGCAGGGACAGTTCATTCAGTATGTCATATTTAAAATGTTACTATTTTTAAAAATTATTTTATTTGCATTTCCTATTTTGGGACATTTCCCTTTGTGTCTTTGGTGGGTAAAAGTGAATATTTTCTGTATTATAATATTTTGTCACAGACTTGAAAAAAAAAGAGACTGTTAACCTTCAAATGGAGTCAGTCCTATGAAATAATCCTCCTGTTACTCATGGGAAATGAGTTAATAGCTAATAACAAGGAGGGCCTTAGAAAGTGTCCCTTGTTTAGATCTAGTTGAATTACAGAAACCTTGCATCTTTCTAAACTCTATTTTTCCATTACGATGCAGCTTAGAATAACACACTCACATGTATATATCTATAAAGGTTGTAGCCCAAATACATCATTGTGTGCTTCTGCTACTAAATAGTGTAATAATCTTTACTATTCCTGAATACTTTTTAGAAAAGCTATTTTACACTTAGGGAATAATCACTTTCCTTAAAACTAATTTCATTTTCAATGCATTACTTTTTTAATTTTGCTATGGTCACTGTTAATTTTTTGTTTGTTTTATTGATTGTCCTGATGTAGATTCACTTTTCTAACTTAACAAGTGTTTTGTGTGCTTGTTGGAGATGTGGATGGTTTTCTTTCTTTTCCTCCTCCTTCCTTTTATTTATTTATTTTTTTTTAAATCTCTTATAGTTCAAGACAGAAGTTCTTGGGCTTATAAAGGTTTTATGTTTTTGTAAACTCTTTTGGAATCATGGAAATTTTTATTGTCTACTTTTAGAGAGAGGTTCTGTAGTTTTTGCCAACTCTTTAAAGGGTTCCATCTCAAAAAACATTGCTTTAAGGGTTTATCTAGTATAGAGAAAATTAATGCTTAAACATATACAATATAATATTTAAAATCAGAGCCCAGATATTCAGCCCTTGATAATGTTGGATATGTTACTTTAATACCTGTAGCAGAATAATCTTCAAAAAGGAAAACTGAAAGAAATTACAACTTTTTTTTTTTTTTCTGACGTAGACAATGAGTTACAAGGCACTAATAGTTCTGGATCATTGGGTGGTCTTGATGTTCGAAGACGAATTCCTATAAAGCTTATCTCCAAACAAGGGAACAAAGCCAAAACTGCACCTCGAACTCCAAGGACTATAAACAGGATGCCTGCAAAGGCTCCACCTGGTGATGAAGGTAATTTGTTTAAACTGACAGATCCAAAAGTCTATTGTATCTGATTCCACCAAATATTCCATGTGGTCTTATTTATTTAAGATCTTTTTATCTTACTGTTTCATTTTTCATGCACTTTTCTCTTGCTGTATAATATTTTTGGTTTTTCTTTCGTTATTGAAAGTAACACTGCCTATCATTAAAAAAAAAAACAAAAACCTAAATAACATTTCAGAGAGCAAAATATTAAAAGTGAAATTTGTCTCCCTACCTTGACAATACTGTACCAAAATAATTTCTTTTACAACTTTTTTATAGTAACTTTTTAATATATAACTGCCCTTTTTTCATGTAAGATGCAATTAAAATTTTGCCTTATCAGTGTGTACAGTTGTAGTCATTTAAGAAAATAGGCTTAGGTATTTCATTTATAGATATACTGTAATGTATCGAGATTTTTTCTGATTTTTTTTTGCTGTTAAAAACAATGCTGCAGGAAATATCCTTGTACATATAGCTTAGCATGTACGCTTGGTGTTGAATTTAAACTTTGCGTGAATTTGGGTATTTTACAGCTTGATGGTATCCATCTGTACATCTTAGAATTTAACAGATATTGTCAAATGGCTCTGAAAAAAAACATCCATTTATATTCCCACACACTAATATTGAGACTATTAACCTTTAAAAATTTTCGTTTTGATACACATTTCTTTAATTATGAATGGAGTTATGTGGATATCTTTACATAGTATCGGTTATTTCTTTTGCCTAGGGTCTACCTGTTCATATCTTTTAACCATTTTTTTCTGTATTGTAGTCTTTCTCTTGATTTTTCTGAGTTCTTTACAAATTATTAAATTGGCTCTTTGTCACATATTGTGTATATTCACCATTTGTCTTTTGCACTTTATATATCCAGTTTTTATTGTGGTGAAGTTTGAAGATTTTGTGTCATCAGATATCCAATCCAGTCTTCTGTTATGACTTCTGGGTTTTATAAAATTCTTAGAAGGGCCTTTTTTCTATTTCATGAACAGAAAATAATTTTCCCATTTTACCCGTTAGTATAGGGTCAGCAAACTATGGCCTGTGGACCAAATCCAGCCCTGTTTTTGTAAAGATTTTTTGGAACACAGCCATGCCCATTCATTTAAGTACTGTTTATGACTGCTTTCACACTATAATGGCATAGTTGAGTAATTGCAAGAGACCATATGGCCTACACAGCCTAAAATATTTACTAATCTAGCTTTCTACAGAAAAAGTTAGCTGATCCCTGCTGTGGGACATTTATGGACGTGTATTTGGTTATTTAAAAAAAAAAAGTGGAGTCTGGCTCTATTTATTTTTTCTCTAAAACAGCTAGCTATTTGTCTTAACCATTGAATAATCTGCCTTTTCTGTGCTGAATAAGAATCCCACTATTATCCTACATTAAAGGCCTAAAAGTATTTATGTCAATTTCTAGATTTTCCCTTCTATTCCAGCAATCTATCTATTTTTCTTTTTGGAATCAAAATGTTTTAATTATACCTCATTTTATGGTTCCTTTTATTGTAGGGTATCTCTCCAAGTTCATTTGAAGTCACATGTTCTAAATCGTGGTGGTAGTAACTTAGGGCGATTGCTGCACTCTTCATAACGTAGGGTGCCCTTTCTTTGATCTTTTTGTTTCTTTTAATAATTTTTAAAAAGTACACAGTAATGTGCAAGTACATTCTTGTTATCATAATCCAAACAAGGCAAAAAAGCTAAAATCCCCCTTCTTTCTTTTTCCTCTCAGATATCCCCTCATTCCCTTCCCTCTCATCCCCCAAGCTTACACCCCTTTCTAGAGGGAACTACTATTACCAATTTCTCTTTTAAGAGAACAAACTGAGGCTGGAGATAACTTTTGATTACTTTTGATTCAACTAATTCGGGTAAAAAATAATAAGTGATTGGTGTTTTTTCTAGGCAGATCAAAATAGGGAGATGTGGGTACTAATATGGTATTATACAATTATACATGTATACTTTAATGGTGGGAGTGCAGGTTGAACAACTTTGAAAAATGATTACTGAGCTCCTCATTTTGTTGGCTGTTGTTCAACACAATAACTCAGCATTTTAGATAAGAAGAACTGATCTTCCTTATTTTGAATTTTAGATGACAGAAGCTTTTTATAAGGTATAAATGGGCCATACAAGAGGCGAGGGTCACTCATTTGTAACTTTTAAGAATACTCCTTGAACTGTATACTTTGTATTGGAGACGATTAGTGCACTGGGAAAGTCTTGCTTCCCTGTATTTGTGTGTATGTCCATATGTACATCCATACACAGGTACTGTAATTTAGCCACGTGGGTAAAGTTAAAACTTGTGCGCTTGGTCTACGCTCTTTACCAGTTCTAGGGCCTAAAGAGTCATGAGAAGCCTGGCATTTTGGAGGGATAGATTTGCCTTCTTTACTTTAGGTAATTGGATTCTACCAAGAATTACCATTGGACTGTCCATTGGTTTTCTCTTCTTTTGTATGAGATGAGATGCTTACCATCAAGGTTAGAGAAATTGAGCCCATATGATCTTCATAATTTTATTGATACATATAGTGGAGAGGAGGATACTTGTGACTAGATGTGATATGGCTTCTGCTGTTTGGGTGATCAACCAGAGAGAGGTTTTAATTGAAAAGATGAAGTAATGAATATGTCCTTATTTCTAAAATCAGTTTCAGTTTTAAGACTGAAGGAGAGGATACCTAATTTGCTTAGTTGTAAGAAGAAAAACCTGCAGAATTCTTTATATTTTCATCATATGCTTTTGGCAATAAAATCAGCCTCTTGCAGCATGATACCACTTTTGTAGGTAGATTACAGTAAGTGATCAGTATCTTAAAAGTTTGTGCGGCAAGTGTGACGATGGTAATTAGTAAAGGTTTATACTAGAGAGAGTTTGGTGAATTAATAAGAGCACTTGAATGGGACTGAAGTGTTCTGAAGTCTGTTCCTGGCTCTCCCACAATCTATGTATTGAGTTACTATAGGTCTCCATACTGCAGTATTCCCAACTATAAAATAAGAGGGTTGGAGTAGATGGTTGCCAAGATCATTTCTAGCTGATGTTATAATGACTTAAACTAGTCTTGATTATCTTGTCCTTAGAAGAGCTTTGAAAGGCATCAGATGGGCTTTTGGGTGAACAGGTCTGTGATGCCATGTACATGTACTTCCAAAATGAAATTTAGGATTTGAAAAGTTTCTTTTCTCAGAACACTTTCTTTTCTCAGAAGGATTTGATTATAATGAAGAAGAACGGTATGACTGTAAAGGGGGCGAACTGTTTGGAAATCAGCGAAGATTTCCTGGACACCTTTTTTGGGACTTCCAGGTAAAACTAAAAATAAAAAAATTTATTAGAACAGCAAAATACTTTATTTTATTATATAAAAAAATATTTTCTTTAATGTTTATTTTTGAGAGAGAGGCAGAGACAGAGAGTGGAGGGGTGGGGGCAGAGAGAGAAAGAGACACAGAATCTGAAGGAGGCTCCAGGCTCCAGGCTCCCAGTACAAAGCCCGACACGGGGCTCGACTCACAGACCGCGAGATCACGACCTGAGCCAAAGTCAGGTGCTCAACTGACCGAGCCACCCAGGCGCCCCAGAACAGCAAAATACTTTAAATATTTTATTAGAATAATCAGAATACTTAAAGAATGGTATGAACTTTTATTACAGCTATTATGCTTTTTTTAAGCACACTCAAATCATGTTTATTAATGCCCTATTTCCACTATTTTCAAAAATAATTTGAAATAATTTTCAGTAAAGTCAAGTAAAATCAATAACCGTAAACATTAGAAAAAAGAAACTAATGGGGGCACAGCTAATCATGTGGAATATGTGGGAATTATGCCAAGAAACCTTTATTTCTAATTGTATTAACAACTTTTATAAAATACTAACCAATTCATTGCAAAAATTATAAGTACAATTTTTAGAGATGCTTAAAAAGAAAATTTTAATTATATCATTCAACAGATAAACATCTTAGGTGAAAAGGATGATACGCCAGTTCATTTCTGTGACAAGTGTGGATTGCCTATTAAAATCTATGGGCGAATGGTAAGTATAACTAAATTAAATGTTTTAGTAAATGTAAACTTTTGTGTAGAGATGAGATTCTGAAATTTAAGTAGGTGGGTTTATCACTGTTTAATGACTAAGTTTGTGACATTTTAATTAAGTATGGAATAGCCAAGGGAAATTTGGGGATACCATGCATTTAATATAATTATCTTGACAAATTCTTGAATTGCTTGAAAATTAACTAACTTCTGAAAACGAATTTCTTTGGACTGTCTGATACATGTTAGTGGATATTTATTCTGGTTTATTAAGGAAAATTGTTTTCTTGTTAAACAGCAAAGTCAGTTACTTGTTTCCGAAGGCTATAATTTTTAATGTAAAACTAATAATACTAATAATTCAAATAGAATTGAATTCTAATCATTAAAAACAATTATAACTGTAGTTGTAATTTTATAGTAATTTTGACATATCCTCCTTTAAAAGATAGTTTTGTATTTGTATTTGAAAAAAATTGAATTCAGTAACGTCTGCCTGGTAGAGGGCATGGATCGGGCCCTCTTGCTTTGCTGTGTAGCGTAGCTAAATAAGAGTAATGGACTATGAGTTTTAAAATGGTCTAACATCATTTTACTGTGTTCTTCTGATTTATTTTTAGATTTTTATAAGTTCATTAACTGCCAGGGAAGAATGCTACTTGCATTAAATGTAGGAGGTGTTTGTTATTTCACTGCTTTGACACAGTTTCAGGAGGAACAGGAAAAGATAGAACATGGTTATGGTATTCTTCTTTGGGAGTTTTAATTATTTTTTTTACTTTTTACTTTATAAATTTTTATTGAAGTATGATTGACCTATAATATTAAATTAGTTTTGGGTGTACAACATAGTGATACGACAATTATGTACATTACACTGTGCTCACCGTGATAAGTGTGGTTACCGTCTTTCAGCATACAAAGTTACTACAATGTAATCGACTATATTTTCTATGCTGTACTTTTCATTCCTGTGACTTCCCTGTTTTATAACTGGAAGCTTGTACCTCTTAATCACCTTCACTTTTGCCTCCCGCCCTAGTATGTTCTCTGTATTTATGACTGTTTCTCTTTTTGTTGTTGTTGTTGTGTTTGTTTTGTTTCTTGGGTTCCACATATAAGTGAAATCATATGGTATTTGTCTTTCTCTGCCTGACTGACTTTACTTACTCAGCATAACACCCTCTATGTTCATCCATGTCATAAATGGCAAGATTTCATTCTTTTTTATGGCTAAGTAATATTCCATCGTGTATATGTACCGCATCTTTTTTTTCTTGGCTATTATAATATGCTGCAATAATGGTGCATATACTTTTTTTGAATTAGTGTTTTTGTTTTCCTCAGGTAAATTCCCAGAAGTGGAATTACTGAATTGTATGGTACTTCAATTTTTAGTTTTTTTGAGGAACTTCCATACTGTTTTCCATAGTGGCTGCAGCAATTTACATTCCAACCAATAGTGCGTGAGGGTTCTTTTTTTCCCCCCACATCTTGGCCAACATGTTTCTCTTGTCTTTTTGATACTAACCATTCAGACGGATGTGAGGTGATACTTCATTGTGGTTTTGATTTGCTTTTCTCTGATTAGTGATACTGAGCGTCTTTTCATGTACCTGTTGGCCATCTGTATGTCTTCTTTGGAAAAATGTTTATTCAGGTCCTCTGCCCATTTTTTAATCTGATTATTTGGGCATGGGGGGTTTGGTGTTGAATTGTATGAGGTCTTTATATATCTTAGGTATTAAGCCCTAATTGAATATATCATTTGCAAATATCTTCTCCCATTCAGTAGGTTGTCTTTTCATTTTGTTAATGGTTTCCATTGCTTTTGTTTTCCTTGCCTGAGGAGACATCTGGAAAAATGTTATTAAGTTTGCTAAGAGATTGCTGCATATGTTTTCTTTTAGGAATTTTATGGTTTCAAGTCATACATGTAGGTCCTTAATCCATTTTGAGTTTATTTTGTGTATGGTGTGAGAAAGTGGTCCAGTTTCATTCTTTTACATGTAGCTCTTCAGTTTTCTCAACACCATTTACTGAAGAGACTGCCTTTTCCGTATTGTTTATTCTTACCTCCTTTGTCGTAGATTAATTGACTGTATATGCATGGGTTTATTTCTGGGCTCTCAATTCGGTTTCATTAATCTGTGTCTGTTTTTGTGCCAGTACCATACTGTTTTGATCACTATAGCTTTATAGTATAGTTTGAAAGCTGGGATTGTGGTACCTCTAGCTTTGTTCTTTCTTAAGATTGCTTTGACTATTTGGGGTCTTTTGTGGTTCCATATAAACGTTAGGATTTTGTGTTCTAGTTCTGTGAAAAACTGCAATGAATCTGTAGATTGCTTTGGATAGTGTGGGCTTCTTCAGGAGCTTTACCTCTATAGGAACCACAGATGAAATTCATAGCATTTATACTTCGAGAAATGTAAGCAGATGCATACGTATATATTTATTGGGGGAAAGGCGAAATATTTCATTATATCTCAAAGGGCTCTGTTACTGAAAAAAGGTTAATTGTTGCTTTTCTGTAATTAGTACTTAATAAATGTTTATCATAGTGAGCAATTCTCAGGTGCCTTTTATGTCCAGGTTACTGTGCTTACAGTTATTTTTTATGGAAATAGTTTAAGTTGTTCTAGTATGCTTAACTGTAATATGTCTCTGTTCACAGATTCCGTGCAAGCATGTGTTTTGCTATGACTGTGCAATTTTACATGAAAAAAAAGGAGATAAGATGTGTCCAGGGTAAGGTTATTAGTAGATTTATTTTCATTTTTATTTTTTTAACATTTTTATTTATTTTTGAGAGACAGAGCACGAGCACGAGCGGGAGAGGGGCAGAGAGAGAAGGAGACACAGAATCCGAAGCAGGCTCCAGGTTTCGAGCTGTCAGCACAGAGCCTGAAGCGGGGCTCGAACCCACAAACTGCGAGATCATGACCTGAGCTGAAGTCGGACACTCAACCGACTGAGCCACCGAGGCGCCCCATTAGTAGATTTTTAAATAATAAAAGTTTGTGGTGTAATGAATTGGTAAAGATCAGAGTATGATGTAAGTCAGCAGCAGGATATCAAATATGTAGACATGGCTAACCTTTCTTTGTGAGCCTAGAGTTGGCTTTAGCCTTCTCCTTAGGATAGGGCTAGGTAGCTATTATCTGAGTGTTCACATTAGCCCAAACAAATACATGTGTCATCACAAATTAGTGTTATAAACCAAAACAGTTGTTTTGTTTTGTTTCTCTGATGGGACACTAGAGAGGTAGTATCAAGCAGCGATTGGAATTACAATTCCTGGCTTCAGATCTCTAGTCTGCCGCTTATTAGCTGTGTGACAGATTGTTTCTTCATCTGTAAAATGGAGTTAATAAATAGCATCTACGTCTCTGTGTTGTTAGAACTAAACTAGTAGGTCCATACATCTATATTTATAGTACCTAGCATATAATAAGTACTAGGTAAGTATAAGCTCTTATGTACTACCTGCAAATCTTATTATTTATGTCTTGAGTATGTCTTAGGACACCATCATGGTATTGGCTCAGACAAGTTATAAAGATCTAGAGGTATTGGTTGATACTGATCCAGTTCGGTATGGTCTTGAAAGATCCAGGATAACTTTTTATACCAGTTTAGAACCCCTGATAGAAGACTTGAGAAAGCTTTGAGACCAACTTCCTTGGAACAGTTGTAGACTTCTGAGATTCCTTATGACCTGTGTCAGAAGCTATCCCAAGATTTGTAGTATGGGTTGATAACACAATTATGGACACTTACAAGGAATGATTTCTTTTTTTGGTGTAGGAAGATTGGCGTCACTGAGAGAGAGAGAGAGAGGATGATTCAATAAGTGTTCTAATGGTAATATGGAAAAGGGAATTTAGTTTTCAAGATATTGAAAGTAACTCCAGTAAGCACCTCACTGGTCGGCACTTAGCTATTTGAGAACATAAGCCTATCTGGCTCAACCGACTCAGATCAGGAAGTGAAGAAATGGCAACCCAAGTTGATATAAATATTATATACTGTTGCTTTTAAACACCACCCAAAAGAAAGTGTCTTACATTCCTGTTACCGTGGAGACCTTTCTGAGTTTACAGCATATTAGAAGCAAACAAATGAGAACTGTGCCAAATGGCCACTAAAGGGAAGCCTGCTAGTCTCAAGGAGTGCCAGCCTTACAGCAAGGGTGAAAATAGAGACACAGCTCAAACTCAGGAATATAGAGCCATTTAACATAGTCTCAGATGACCTGATACACATATTCCGTGATAATAGCCTATATCCATGCATATGTAGTGATTCCATGCTTAACTAGTGATTCGGTTCTGCCACTTTCATTGTTTTCAGTTATCCCAAGGATATTCTTTTAAGTAGGGCAAAGTAGATAAAAAACAAAAAAACATTGTTAGAGTACATATTTTAACCCATATTGCAGATGAAGAAATAAACAGATTAAATGACTTCTCCAAGATTACAGAGCCAGCACTTGGTCCCCGTTCTTCTGATTCCTGGTTCAGTCCTCTTTCCACTATTTCAAAAGACTCTAAAGGCAAGTGTGGATTAAATATAGTGAGAAAGAGTTATAATTTTGACCCTGAGTCATTAAAATGCTGAGTTAAATTTAGTGCTTACAGTTTAGAAAGGAGGGGGTCATACTTTTTTGTAGTAAAATTGTCTGATAATTCTTCTCTAAGGGACTCCTGATAGTCAGGGTTTGAATTTAAATAGTTTGCGTTGCTTAATGTCAAGAACCCTGTCGATGAGGATGATCTTACACATTTTTGCAGTCCTTGCAGCGTCTTTTACTTCGTATTGTTCGCTCAGCAAATCCTTGTTGCTCCGTAAATACTGTACAAGTTTGAATTCCATGACTATGACAGACCTTTGGTTCATCGTTTCTGGCTGTTTTTGCAAATGGATGCAAAGCATAGAGTTTGAGACAATCAGATAATTCTGTGTCTTAGGAACAATAGGTCTTTTCTTAAAACATACTCTTGTTTGATAAACAACTTTTAATTTTTACTTGTATGGAGAGTTCCAAGGTCGGTAGAAGGGTGGATGCTTAACGTGAAGCCAACAGACCACAGAGTGGCAGTGATTAAAGGTTCACTTACGGTCCCTGCAACTTGTAATTGTGAACTTTTGCAGTTCCCACAACAGATTTCAAGAACAGGCGTATCTGTGAGAGTTTGTGCAGTATTTTTCTGGTCTGCTGTTAGTAAATCCGTTTTTTCCCCTTCTCGTTCAGCTGTAGTGACCCCGTTCAGCGGATCGAGCAGTGTACGCGAGGTTCTCTCTTCATGTGTAGCATTGTTCAAGGGTGCAAGAGAACCTACCTGTCTCAGAGAGACTTACAGGCGCATATCAACCACCGCCACATGAGAGCTGGAAAACCTGTTCCCCGTGCTTCACTTGAAAACGTCCATCCTCCTATCGCCCCACCACCAGCTGAAATCCCTGATCGTTTTATAATGCCGCCAGACAAGCACCACATGAGCCATATTCCGCCAAAGCAGCACATCATGATGCCGCCACCTCCATTGCAGCACGTGCCACACGAGCACTATAACCAGCCACACGAGGATATCCGTGCTCCGCCAGCAGAATTGGCCATGGCTCCACCTCCTCCTCGTTCGGTCAGTCAGGAAACCTTTCGTATTTCAACAAGAAAACACAGCAATTTAATAACTGTCCCTATTCAGGATGACTCCAATTCAGGTGCTAGAGAACCACCACCTCCTGCCCCAGCACCTGCTCACCACCATCCTGAATATCAGGGCCAACCAGTGGTCTCGCACCCTCATCATATTATGCCTCCACAGCAACATTACGCACCCCCCCCACCTCCTCCACCACCAATAAGCCATCCAATGCCACATCCTCCCCAGGCCACAGGGACTCCTCACTTGGTTTATAGCCAAGCTCCACCTCCACCAATGACCTCTGCTCCACCACCAATAACCCCTCCCCCCGGACATATTATTGCCCAGATGCCACCTTATATGAATCATCCTCCTCCAGGACCTCCCCCGCCTCAGCACGGCGGCCCACCTGTAACTGCACCCCCTCCTCACCATTATAATCCTAACTCTCTACCCCAGTTCACTGAAGATCAAGGAACTCTGAGCCCTCCATTTACACAACCAGGAGGAATGAGTCCTGGTATATGGCCTGCACCAAGAGGGCCACCTCCTCCTCCACGAATGCAGGGTCCGCCTTCTCAAACCCCACTTCCTGGACCACATCATCCAGATCAGACAAGATATAGACCGTATTACCAATGATCAATAGTGCTTTGAACTGAAGATATGATGAGGAGGAAAAAAAACAACAAAAACTTATGTATAGTCAATCTTTTAATTAAGCTTTGACTGTTCTGGGAAGGAGAAGCACCTCTTCCTGAGGTGACCGTAAAACACGTAGGGTCTTGTCTCTTAAAAATGGTTTTAAATCTTGACCTTAGGATCGATTTCAAGTACTATACTGTAGTGCAGATAAGTGGCTCAGTTGAGCACAGCTATATTTTAACAACTTTGTTCCCCTAGTGTGGTAAATTGACCCAGAGGTGACCATTTGTAAAGAATTTGGGAAGACTTTTTCATTGTTCCACTTTCAAAAATAGTGCTTTTGTTCAATCCAGTGTTCAGTTTTTCTTGTGATACATTTTGTTAACCTGTGTAAAAGGATTAAATTTCAAAATGGTTGTAAAAATGCTATTTTTATGTGAATTTAAGTGCAGCCACATACTGTTTTTTAAAAACCATATGTTTTACCACTAATTTCCCAAAGTTACAATAAAATCCTAAAAGTAAAAATCTACTAGAATTTACTGTAAGGCAGACTGTTAAGTGGTAGAGAATTATTTCACATTTTAGGCACTGAAAGTTTGAGGTATATTAAGTATATAATGCACTTCACTTGGATGCCTTTTCATTTTTAGGCAGCCTCAGGAGCACCAAAATACATTGGAATTCCAGTACTAAGATATTTTGATGTTCATAACATTAAAAGGCATTAGGAATTCTTTGGGAAGATCTGGCCAAAGTAATTGACTCTACAGGCTCCAAGCTATTGGGGGATACTGTTACTCATTAACGTTTTTTCCTGAATGGTTGGAATCACATGATGCACCACATTTACTAATCTTACGTAACATTATTTTATAGAACTGTTTAAATTGTGTTCTCTAGATAAAGTGTTCTACTCTGCTCATTGTCTCAAACTAAGTATTTAGGGCTGAATAGACTTTATGTAATTCCTCATTTCGTGGTGGAGTTGGATCCTGTGCTCTAGGTGGGTTCTTGTTTATTGGGTTTTTAAAGTACAATTTGAACGCCGTAGAGGAATATTGTATTAATGAGGGACATTCTTGTAATCACAGACTTGCATTGCTCAGGTTTCATTACCGTGTGATAAGGTTTTTTTTCTCTAACTTGAAATTTTAAGACTATAATTTCCTGTTCCTTTTATGGGTTAAGCAGTATGAAACTGGGAACATTTTAAAATGGAGTCACCAGTGAAGACTACCAGATGATTTTGTTTGTATTGGAGAAAAGTAACGACTAAATTGTGATTTTCAGAGCTTTATAACGTGCCTTTAGAGTCAGCATTTGCATTATAGGGGCTTGCTACAGTCCAGCTAAGATGACCACTTACATTTTATATGGAACTCATGTGTATAAATCAACATTCTTAGGGTATGGTCCTATATCCTTTGAGTAAACCCCTGTGAAGTATTTCCTCCCCCCTAAAATGGTGCATAATATAAAAATGAAAAACGTAGTATGCAGATGTCATTTATTAAATAGTTTGTAGTGCGTACATTTAGAACATTTCTTTTTGACAAAGGGTGAGCTGATGGCTAATTTACCATTGGATTCTGTCAGACACAGGCAAAACAGTTTCTCGTCTTGGATAATGAGATGCAGAGTTGTCTCTGAACTTAGAGCTGAAGTTAGAGATAGGCGAAATGATTATTTCAACCTTGACCGGCCGGAAATAACTAAGACGCTTTTTTTTTTTTTTTTTTTTTTTTTTTTTTAAGTTGAGTGATTTTTCACATCTAGCAATTTGAGAGTCCAGTGTTAATGCAATATATCTAGTGAGAAATTCTTGTTATTAGGAGCATGGGAGTGAAATAAGAAATAGTATGAACTGGTGGTGGTGAGTGCTTCTATCATTACTGTAGGTACTTGGACTGGTGCAAACTTGATTCCTTTTCATGCCCCTATTTAGGAGCTGTTAAAATATTACTGTTAAAAATCCAATACCATTCTTTGTTTCTTGTGATAAGAAAATAGCCAAATTCCTTTTAGGGCTTCTCAACTGTTTATGAGGAGCGCTCCTGTTTTTACTGAAATTCACTAGAGTCGAATGTGGTATGAAACCACTTAGCCTATGTATTGGACAAAATAATTAGTATCATGATAAACTTCCACATGTTTAAGAGAATTCTCGTAGACTTTTTAAAAAATGATTTATTTTCAGTTAGGTTTAAAAAATATGTGTTATGCAGGGAGGCAGATCAGATGAATGTGTTGTAGCAGACAAAATTTTTAAATGGCGTTAGACTTGAATTCATCCAGTTATTGTTTGAATGAGGGTTGGTGGGTAGAAGGATAACAAAATTACTGTTAGTGTTTATTTCCTCAAGGAAAAAGATGTGAATCCCAGCCTTATTTCAGGGAAGCCTTTGAAGCTATGATGGACATAAGTCTAAATTAAATGTATGTATGTTTCATTATATTGCTCTTAAGACTACTGAGGTGGCAGTTTAATTCTTAAAAACAATAAAATGGAAGCATAAATACTATTTTGCCTAGGTGGATTTTTACCTACTGATGACACATTTGGGAGAATGCAAAATTTTCTGTGTGTCTGTGTCGGTACAACTTTTACAGTAAAATTAGCTTCACTTTTGTTGAGATTGAAACCAGCAAGTCGAATGTTAGTGTTTGTTCAGTGGCGTGCCCGTTCACAATATAACCTAGTATTTGGGAAATATCAGTTGCAAAAACCATAAGAAACTATATCTGTTTTGCCCTGTAAAAATCATTTGCTCAAAATCATTGTGTAAATACTAACTAGATACCACTAACGTAAATGGAAAAGACATTTGAACGTATTTTTAAACTCACAATTAAGTGACTTTATGAGATATACAGAGCTGCTGACTTCTGTTCTAACATACTGGAAGGGTATCATACCTCTTTTTTTGAAAAGTCCTATAGTCCTTCCTATGTCATGAAAATTTTGGAGAGGTCCTATGTTATAAGTACAGTTGACCCTGAACAACGTGAGAATTCGGGGTGCTGGCCCCCCTGCACAGATGAAAATCCGTGTATAACTTTTGACTCACTGAAAACTTTAATAATAGCCTGATAACGTAGTTGATTAGTACATCTTATATATATTTATATGTATCCTACGCTGTATTCTTACCATGAAGCTAGAAAAGGTGTTACTAAAAGTTCTAACGAAGAGAAAATACAGTTCTGTGTAGAAAAACACTCCGTGTATAAGTAAGTGGACCCGTGCAATTCAAACCCCTGTTGTTCAAGGGTCAGCTGTACATGGAAAAAAATCACAAGTACCAAGAACAAAAAATATATTTTTCTAATTATTAGATTAGCCACCAAATATTGATGTCAATTGAGGAAGTTTTACATAATCATACTCTATTTTGACCAAAGTAGATTTGTGTTTCTTCACTGGTTTGTAACTAATCTGTTAAATTTTGGCCTAGAAACTTAAATAGCATTTACTTATTACAATATATGCACAGTCTAATAAAGCAATATTGGATATACTTCACTTCAAGGGGACAGAGAGATAAGCCAGTGAAAATACTTGATAGTGATAACTAATAAAAACATTTGGATTTTCAAACATTTTTTGTTTTGATTCATGCCCCTTCAGTTTTCTACCACTGAGGGGAAAAGTGCTAAGACAATTCCGAGGGCAAGATTTTAGTGTTAAAAGCTTGATTTTCCCATCTCCCTATCTTTAAGAATTAAGACTTTTTAGGCAGTACAGAATCCCACAACTGAAATGAACAATGCTAGGTCATGGGTTTAGGTCTCACACTTGGGCAGGACCATGTCTTAAAAATTTTGGTATTTTGAAATGTTAATCGATTCTGGTACTCCGAATACTCCGTTTCTATTCCAAGTAGTTGTAAGCACCAACTTCATGTTGCATTAAGCCCATTTCTATTAATCTTCCTTTAAAATTGTTCTCCTTTTGCCTTCAGAGTGAAAGATTCTGCTCCCTTTTACTTTTCTTCCCAAGTGTTAACTTTGAAAACTTAAAATCTTTTGTTTTAAAATTGGCACTTCAGTTACGTAAGTAATAAATCTCTTGGGGGAAGCGTAATACGTTAATGCTACGAATAAAGCTATAGATCCCCTTGCATTGAATATTTCCCTTCCAGAAATAAGTAGTTATAATTTTGGTGTATGTTATCAGTAATCAGTTACAGAGCTGATAACTAAGTAGGCTCCATGCTCTGGTTTAGCATCCTAATTCATGGGAAATGGGAGTACTTCATGACCGATACCCCATAAACATATGAGCACATACCATGTGGGATATAAATCATTCACTCATGCACTCATTCGTTCAGGTATGTGCCAGCATTCTAAGCACCTGGGGTTCACAAGTCTTTAGAGATAGACGATCAACAAGTTTCATTAAGTTACCTAACATGTTAGGAGTACGATAAAATCCTATGGCATGAAGGAAAAATAAGGATAATGGGGTGGAAGGAGGTTCGCAGTTTTAATTAGTGAGGTCTGGGTAGAATCCACTGAAGAGATGACATTTGACCCACGATTTGAAGTGGGTGAGAGTTAGCCATGTAGGTAACCGGGGGCAGACTTTTCTAAGCAGACATAGTCTGTAAAAGTCTTAAAATGGGGGCTGCACCTGGCACATTTGGGGACCAGCAAGGAAATGGGAATGGAATGAGTGAGATGAGCAGGAAGAGGAGGTCAGAGGTAATAACAGAGGGAATGAGATCACAGGCTTTCTGGGCCATCGTAAACTTTGACCTTACTCTGATCTGGGAAGCCATCCTGGGATTCTGAGCAAAGGTGTGGAATGATCTGGCTCTTTTTAGGAGGATTATTCTGGCTGTGTGTTTGGAACAGATGAAGAAGGTAAAGATAGACCAGTCAGAGAGCTTTAATAATTTACACAAGAGATGATGGTGGTACTTGTGGAAGGATAAGTATGTAAGATAATAAATATATATTATAATGTAATAAATTTATGTATATCAATTAAGCACTTACTATATGTGAGATACGGGTATCCACTGATGAACAAAATAGATATGGTCACTGACCTATAGAAGCTTACATTTTAACTCTTCTAGGAATTGTTCTTGGTAGTCATTCCTAAATTTTCCTCAAAAAACTTCTTAAATTCTTTTCCAAAGGATAGTGGCCAGAAAAAAAGGGAATTACATTGGAAAATGGATTACAAAAGTACACATACATGTACAGCCATAATGCAAGCGAAATATTAAGTTTATTTGATTCTGGACATTCCCGTTTCCTAAAAGCTCTTCTGGGTACATTTTCAACATGCAGTACTGAATTACCGACTTTGAAACAAATCTGTAGAACACAGCTATATTGTTCCTGAGTTTAGTCCTGCCTTAGGCTAGATCGGTGTTTAGACAGGTGTTCATTTGTTTTGTGAGGTAATATTTCCTAATGATTAAGAGCCTGGCTCTGGAGTTGGACCGTCTAGACTGAATTCGGGCTCTCCCACCTGCAACTACATAACGGACTAATAACTTACCCTCCTTGGACCTTGATTTATTTTGTTTTTCCCCAAAATGGGGTTAAACCTAGTACTTACCTTATGCGGTCTATTTGGAGAATTAAAGGAATTGATTCTAGATATATTTTAAGGGTAGAGACAGTAGAATATCCTGACAGATTTTTCAACCTGAGCAGCTAGAAGGATGGAGTTGGCGTTAGCCGGGGTGGAAAAGATGCTGGGAAAGCAGATTAGGGGGAGAAGGTCAGTAGATCAGTTTTGACATGTAGACGTCCAGGTGAAGATGGCAGAAAATGAATTAAAGGTTCCTGTTGTCTGTCCTTTATGCAGTGTAAAGCCAAGCTTGCATTTAAAGCCTCTCATTTGCATCTCTGAGTGGTAAGCTACTGCATTTATTTATTTATTTATTTTTTTATTTATATATGAAATTTATTGTCAAATTGGTTTCCATACAACACCCAGTGCTCATCCCAAAAGGTGCCCTCCTCAATACCCATCACCCACCCTCTCCCCCCTCCCACCCCCCTTAAGCTACTGCATTTAGATAAGAATGTGTATCAAATACTTAAATAATTATTGGCAAAAAATTTTAAGGATAAACTGGCACGTTATTAGCTTCAAGCTTTCTTAATTTCAGTAATGTATCTGTCTCTTCCGAAGCTGTTCTGTCTCCTGGTTGCAGTACTGGGTATCTTCTCCCCTTCAGTCTTGCTCTGATTTATGTCGCTTTTATTTTTATCTTCCAACATGATCTCTTGGCCTCTTCCTAAATCAGGGATCAGATTTTTGTACCAATTTCCAATCATTGCTTTTAGGCAGGCAAGTAGAGGCCGAGTGCCATGTATACCCAGAGCATATCCACCTTAGAGGCCTAGGGAGAAAAAACATTTAAGGGTGGGGATAAGGGAACCTCTAAGATGTTAAGGTTGAATAGGCTGAAATGGGGGCACCATGCTTGGAGTGCTCCATGGCTCTTTGGTTAGCGAGAAGGGTGTAAAGAGTACCTTTATTTGGGAAGATGCAGACATCAGCCACGATCCCGTGTGGGGCTTTGGCCCCACCCCCAAATGATGGATGAAATGGGTTTATGTGTCCAATTCCTATTCCCTGACCTCTACAGAAAAAGAGCTCTTAATCTGACATTCATGGAGTATCCTATACAAACGCATCATATATAAAATCATGTCTAAAATGTGTGTGTGTTTCCCTAAAGTCTGCAGGGCGCAGGAAGCTCTATAAGGTATGCATGACTCAGAAATTTAAGAAACGTGCCTTCAAAGAGTGCTTACGTTCCAGTTTTTAAGACTAGCTATGTAAATAAATTTTGTTTTACCTTACTGTAATTGGTTTAAGTCTAATAGACAAGCCCTTTCAGTAAAGACAGTAATAAAGAGTGGGAGGGAGCTTTGACAATAAACCTTCAGAGGCGAGATCTAGAACAATTGGGATTTCCCCATTGACAAAGTTATTTTTTACAAAGTTACAAAATTATCTGTTACATAAAATAAATACAAATTTGTACCGAGAACAATGCCAGCAAAACAGAGAAGCGCGTATGCGGAATCTTCTTCTCTAGCCAAATTGAGCTCTAGAGTGATTATTCTGCCCTGTGTGTTACAAATAATGACCAGCAGTGGAGGAAAAAGTCAAACTGGGTCCTACCATCTTTTCTTTTCTCTAAGACTGGAAAGAACTGTTTACCCATCATGTTTTCTGTTCATTTTTCACCTTCTTGCCTTTTCATTTTATATCTTCATTAGCTTATACAATTTGCATACTACCAGGTGGAAGAAAAGGACTTGCCTCCAAAGCTTAGTATAGTTACAGATATGACATTAGAAGGATTGTGTCAAAGTCTGGATAGGAGGTTGTTGAATGCGTTAAAAAGCTATAGTGATAATCACAAACTCTGGGCAAAGTTAAGGATCACTGCAGAAGTTTTAGACGATTCTCATGTGGCAGGTTTCCAGCCAGACCTCTACCAAGGGGACCCACAACAAGCATATTCCAGAAAGCTACCAAATTTAACAAAACAAGACATATCCACTGTACAATGGAATTTTTTTAAATGGAGATATATCAGTATGAACTGTATACAGTTCTGTATAAACTGTATACAGCATGAACTGTATACAGTATGAACTGTATATAGTATGAATTTATACAATATGAACTGTATAAATTACGAGATTCAAAGCAGTGGTGTAAATACAGTGCAAAACATATGCATGAAGGTATAGTGACCTGGAGGGAAATCTGTCAGTGCTATAAAAATACATATAAACAAAAAATTGTCTTCCTTTGAGAAATCTACAAGATAAAAAATTGAGAGTATTTACAAAATTTTATACTAGATAGGTGAAAAATATATGATGCTAGAACAATCTCGTTCCAAAGTCTGAAACATAATTCTGCTGAGTAAAAATATTCCTCATACAATGTATGAACTTATCAATAACTTTCTGGGTATAAGGTTGTTCTTTATGTGACAGTCAGATGAGGGTCCTTCCGAGTTATGTGTTGATTAGAATTTTGTTTCAACTGGTACCTGGAAGAAGATAGAAAGTTCTTGTTTTAAAAGATTTGTTAATTTCTATCCCTTTCAATAATCCTATCTTGTATTTATAGTCCATTTTATTAAAATTAAGACCTAGAATTTATCAGAGTCATTGACAAATTTTTCATCTTGATTTTTTAAAATTTAAAATGTTTTTGTTTATTTTTGAAAGAGACAGAGTGTGATCGGGGGAGGTGCAAGGAGAGAGGGAGACACAGAAGCTGAAGCAGGCTCCAGGCTCCGAACTGTCAGTACAGAGCCCGATGTGGGGCTTGAACCCATGAACTGTGAGATCATGACCTGAGCTGAAGTAGGATACTTAACCGACTGAGCTATCCAGGTGCCCCTCGTCTTGAATTGTAATGATCATGTACCTTCCATTGCAACTTGGTTCATATAGACCCATGGGATACCATGTTGTGATATGTGTATCTTTCAAAGGCCTGATTTAACTTAATCATCAATATAATGGTTGTAGCAATATATTTCCTTCACAACTGTTTCAGAGGCCACACAAGCTCCAAGGGGCTATGTGTACTGGCTTTCAGCTTTTCTGTGAATCACCACTGATGACCTTATTTATCTTCCTCTAAGTGATGAGGTAGGGAATTGGTGTTAAATTTTTTGTTTGTTAGTTTTAATATGGGAAACAGGTACAGGATGGTACTGACCACATTCTGCTAGACAGTTAGTTCTGAAGCTTTGATCACGTTGCAGGTTGGGGTGCCTGGGTGGCTCAGTCAGTTAAGCAGCCAACTTCGGTTCAGGTCATAATCCCATGGTTTGTGAGTTTGAGCCCCTCGCCAGACTCTGTGGTGACAGCTCGGAGCCTGGAGCCTGCTTCAGATTCTGTCCCCCCCACCGCCCCACCCTCTCTGGCTCTCAC